CATAAACTCATTTCCTCAGTGGCTCTAGTAATATGTATTTCCCTCCTTTTTCATTTTTAGTTTGGTAAGATGATGAGTTATACTCATGATCCATCGAGACTTGATTTTGCCCTAAAAGGATAGATTATGTTGCCGTGGGAAGAGCTTTTTCGTTAATACAAACGAATATTATTCTCGTCATTAAACCGTGCTATGTCAATATAAGTTCATACGATTTTAGTTGTTCTATTTTATATCTCAATCGTAAAATTTCTTGGTGTACTTGATACTCATCTGATTGAGGGTTTTCTTTATTAAGCCAATAAATTTGCAGGAAATGAACAAGTACTATAGAAGAAAAGAATGGTTGAATCTACAAAATTGAACCAAGGCAGGCGGAAAAAAGCCAACCTACTTCAAATTTTAAAAAAAAGAAAAACAAGAGAGAAGATTTGCCATTTTGTTCCTCTGTAAGAATCTTTCTAAAAAATGCCTTTTTTAAATATAAAAAAAGCTTTTTTCAGAAACTAACTTTTTCTCCAGGTATTGGATTTTTCGAATGAGTATACGTACAAAAAAGTAAACTCAAAACAACATTAAACTCAATTTTTGCAAATTTAATTCAGTAGCTCTTTGTGCAACTCTGCGTTATGAAGAATATGCCTCACTTCGAGATTTTCAGAAAAAAGTATTACAGTCTTGAATTTCGAGGGCTATCGTTAGGGCTTGCATTCCCACGTTATCTCGCGAAGGAAATTGAAAAACGCCTTCAATTATGACTGATACAACAAGCAGTTCACTACAGGAAAGCAATCCTGTGCGCGACCACAACGCACCAATATGAAACCCTTCTGTATAGCGAAATGTTTCAACTCTTCGCGGACCTGGAATTCGTTAATTCCTCTCTATTGTCTTAAAAGGCAGGGCCCTCCCCCCCCCCTTGCTGCTGAGCGGGCCGCGCCACAAGGACGCTCCTCTGTCATGCCACGGAGAAAGAAGCATCGTTTCACTTGCAGTGCTTGCAGTCGACTCCACTTTCCCCGTTAATTTTTCTTTCAACCCCGCATCTTCCTCAAGAGTGAAATCATGCTTCCGCTGATTCGAGCGTAAACTTCTTTCAGGGTGAGCCTTCTCTTCTGTATAGCTTGATGCAACAACAGTGGCGTGGCGTGCTTTGCGATATATCGATTGTTCTGCCATTTAAACCCATGGAAAAGGATCGAAAAACAGGGTATTCGCAGCGAACACCTCAATCATCGATTCTTTACCATAGGTTTAAATGGCATAACAATCGATGTATCGCAAAGCACGCCACGCCACTGTGCAACATCCAGAGCCACGCGAGAGTGGACTCACGCTCTGCCGTGATAGCGAAGAGAGCAGTAAGTGCAAAAATGAAGTTTTGAGAAAACGGGCTCAGAGCTTCTGACCGGAAAATTTTATTGAAAGATGCCTCCCTACTTTGTCAAATTGCCACTAATTGTCCGAAAGACTCCTAGAAATCGTTCAGATGATTAAAAATTGACTGATTTCATATTTCAATTACATAGAAAAGGTATTTTTCATCTTCATGTTAGGTTATTGTTAGGCAAGACAGCCGTAAATACCGTCCTCTGTATGCTTTTTTGGTTGCGTTTTGGACGCACATTTTCAGGTTGGAAATTGGCAGAAGAGGTCGGCTTTTTACTTGAAAGCTCTGTTTTCATTGGCTCTATGAAGAAATATTGTCACTTACTGCTGTCTTGCCTAAAACTACGTCATTTTTGTCGCAATTACGGCTTCTTTATATGTCTCGTTTTGATACAACGAAGATGAATTTTGCTGTTTTAGCAATTTCAGTAATTTCATCTAAAAGAGTTTAGACGAATTTTGAAGAAAACTCGATTTGGAAAGTTTGACACTTGCTGCTCTCATCAGTATCACGGCAGCGCTCTTTGTCTCGTCATTGAAGAGGAGAGATCAGATTCCGTTTGAATTTAAGGGTCGCGACGAGAAGGTCGGGCGCGTTTCCGCCAGGTACAAAATCAGAGCCCAAAGTTACATCCGTATTTTATTAAAAGCAAAGTATTAAGAGCATAAAGAAGAGTCTTTCGAGGAGCCTTGAAACCCTAGGGTATGGGACACGCCAAGGCGCGCTGTCACCACTGCAGTGCTAAGCAGAAACCTCGTATAAGCATATGAATGTCGCCGAATTTCTTTGGATAAAATATTTATTTCGGCCAAAAAACTGAAATTTTTTCGATGATATTTTTACATGCGCTAGGATAGGTTAGAAACAAAAAGCCCGGATGAATTCAAGGAGAAAAATTGACAGGTTTTCCAGAGGATTTGTTTCTCCTTAGATGAAACTTGGCAACGCTTGAAAGCTCATGCGGCGATTCTTCTTGAGCACGGCAGTGGCGCGGCGTGGATTGCGATGTATCGATTGTTATGCCATTTTAACCTATGGTAAAGAATCGATTGTAAAGGTGTTCGCTGCGAACACCCTGTTTATCGATCTTTCCCCATAGGTTTAAATGGCATAACAATCGATATATCGCAGTTCACGCCACGCTACTGGAGCACGGCGCACAGTGGATCGAGTCAATAAGAGAGGTCAGACATGGAACTTTTTACTAAAATCGCAATTTTGATGTTTATTTCGTCACATTTTAAACTTTAAGAGGTACTTCCAGAAGAAAATTTCACGAGGAAACCAATGGAGCCTATTTTTGAACCTCAAACTTTTGTATGAACGGAGTTTTAAGTGTTTTAAATTTCCAAATTTTGTCCGACCTTCCCCATTGACTCGATCCACTGTGCGGCGTAAGGGATGGTGGAATGTCGGAACATACGTTTTATGAGTGGAGACGGGCGAATTGGAAATACCCCGCCGGACGGATCGCCCATTAATTTCAGAAAAACTCTTTGTCGCTTAAATTGATTATACGGTATCACTTCGCGTTACCCCTTTCGCTTTTCTCTCGTTTAACTTCGTTTTAATTGTAGGAGGAGTTTTTGAGCGCTGTTCCGACCCCTCCTCCTCCCCTCCTTTCGGTTGCTTCTCCGCGGTGGTAAATCTTGCCCCGACCGGAGAGCGTACCCCTAAAATGCCGCAATAAATATTTCCGTGAGATACGACCCGCCGCGCTTGCGCGCCTTAGAGGATGAAAGAGATAGAAAGGAAAAGGGAAAAACTCGGGAGTAAATCATAAAATGTTCCGATGGACCTCTTGTGAAACGAACACTGTTAAAAATCAACACGGAAAAAAAATTGCTGATTCAACAATTCAATTGCTAAAAACAGTGAGTGCAATGTTTCAACGCAGATTTTACAACAAAAAATGCTACTTTAACCGCATTGTAAAGTAATTTAACCACGGGGGTGGTTAAAGTAGCATTTTTTTTTGTTGTAAAATCTGCGTTGAAACACTGCACTCACTGTTTTTAGCAATTGAATTGTTGAATCAGCAATTTTTTTTCCGTGAATGATTTACTCTGAGTGAAAAAAAAATCCAGCGCGAATTTCGCGCCGTACTCTGAGTGAATAGATCAGAGCGTAAAGATCAGAGCGTAAGAGCGTAAGTCAAAAAATATTTACAATAGCATCGTCAAAATAGTGGAATAGTTCTTGCTCTCCATTCTCCAAAAAGAGTGAGCACAGTAATCGAACAGTCAAGTATTTGTTTATAGTGCAAGCTACGATTTTAGACTTGAGTACTAAATGCTATTACGACGGATCGTAAAAAATTCACGGCACTTACTGCAATTACAGTTTTTTTCTAAACCGGCACGAATAGCAGTTTAGTGTAGAAAGGACATACGGGATTTCTGGTCCCACTTGATGTTCTGCCCTGGTATCCCTGTTAGGTTTGTAGGAGCAAGTGCGTCGCCGCTCCGCTTTGTGTTGGGGTCTAATATTTAATCTGGCGGAGTCAGCGTTATTCAACTCATGATTTTGAAATGTTTGCACATCCTGAATGGATTATTCTCGTTTTAATTGATGAAAAAAAAAAATATTTATTAAAGGAAAATATAACGTGTGTTTTGTAAATATTAAGGTGGTCCCGTATCAAACTTAATGAATTCCAAAGCACACAAATTTCTACACAATTTCTTATAGCCTTTTATAATCGATGGCGAAAAAGCAACAGCCAGGCGATAAAGTGTAAAGCCCAGCTATAGGAACTATAGTCCGGCTGCATAATTGTTTATAGCTCCGTATAGTCCGGCCGTATGATTTTCTCCGCATTCTACAGCCAGCTATATGATTTTCTGTAGCCTTCTTTAGCCGGCTATAAGAATTCCCATGGTATTTTGAAACGCAGCTCTTATCGTCAATTTTTACAAGGGTGATCGTAGCTACTACGTTACTTTTGTGGTGATAATTATTTTGATCGAGATAATAATAAAACATTGTTATCAGGACCTAAGTACCCATTTATCACAAAAGTTAACCTGCGACTACGACCCAAAGATTAACAGGGAAAGCGGAATCGATTGCAAGAATTGCAAGTGCAACGATGCAACAGCAGCCGGGTTGAAAGAAAAATTTGACCGCGTTCAGCAGAGAGGAACCAAGCCACATCAGCTATTGCCAAAAATTGGGCAATTTAATTTTTTACAACAGAACGTTAGTGCGGATGCTTTTGAAAATTTTAGGGAATTTAATTCGTTCTATGCAGAAAATTCACTGAAATATACACAAAAATCTGCACAACCATTCTCATGTAAAAAATTAAATTGCCCAATCAAATTTGGCAAAAGTTGATGTGGCTCGGTTCCTTTCTGCTTAGCTCGATCCAATTAATGTATCTTTTGAACGTTTCAAAATTTTTGCTGATTTTGGAAATGATATTTCTGCACGTGCGAATGAATCAAATCAAAAGGAACTATGGCCACAGTCCACAGTATATACGCATGCTTCATAGCGCCTTTTGATATAATTCATTTGCGCATGGTTCCTTTTAGCTGAAATGCGTCCCCCTCATTATCACGTCCTCGGATTTTCACATAAAATAAAATGGTCTTTTTGATTTCAGGTGGAAATTACGGCGTGACAATAATGAAACTGACTTTGGCACTATTGGTGAGGGACTATCGGCTACAGAGGTGCAGGCAAACCCCGGAAAGTCCTGTCTCGATGAATCAGCAAACCTCAATCTGCCTGAAACCAGTCAGTTGCATACCGGTGCAGATCAGCAGTCGATCACCAGAAAAAGGCTTCTTCCCGCACATAGTCAATCGCTCCGGCTGAGCCCCAGATCAATTGGACTTATCTCTACTAAACGGAACTATGTGCATCAAGACATGAGTCCTGAGACCCATAAGAATATTCGTATGCATAACAGGACTCGCGTTATAAGCACATAGTTCCGTTTGGCAGAAATATATACGTCCAATTTCAATTCCAAAGTTAACCCCCTCTTTTCCGTCTTCAAGAAAAGGGATCGGTCCTGAGTGCAACTGAATCAGTGCATCGTGAAAACGACATACGCAACTCAAGAAAGTGGCGACAACGAAAAAAAAAACTTATTAGGTTCGTGGCATTTGAATCGTTTCTCTAAAAGAAGTGATGGCGAAGGTAAAAAATCGTTGGATTTTTTTGTCCGAGAAATTTAAGCATAAAACAACTTCAGAGATAAGTCATCTTCTCAATTATATGTATGAGGTAGACATTCTAAAGACTTCAAGAAGAGTTGAAAGGAAAAACATCAGTCAGGAGAAAAATTGCAAAGCTAAGTCCGAAAAATCACTTATCTAGATTCGACACATTTTTTAAATTTACAGAGGTGTATCGTTTCTAAACTCGCTGATTCAATTGGGCTGCTCTTAGAAAAATGGGGCATTTTTTTGGAAAGTAAAAGACCTGCTTGTTAGTTGATTGGCGGAGCACTCAATTAAATGGACAGTTTTAATTCACGTCTGATCGGTTAATCTCTGTAAATTAAATTACTCTTGTCCTTAATACGAAGAGAAATTAACTGGCATCTGACCTTCTCAAACAAATAAACGGGAATGGCAATTTGACATCATAGTAGTTAAACTGATTATGTGTCAACTTTTGATTGCTGAGTAACCTCCTCCTGTTGTCATATGCACAATCAGCATTACTAAATTTAACTCAGAACTGGTATGTGAGGTTGACTAGAGGTGGGAGGGTGATTTGGATTAGTATCGATCCTGGAGTCATTGAAAATTCTTCTACATTCGTAATGGTAAAATGCACCATTTTTCAGTGTGTGACTTAAGTTGGCTCTTTTTTGCCCGCCATGATGAAAACAGGGGCTATTTCAACATATGTATATTTTGTACTGCGTGAACGGTGATTTACGTTGTAAATTTGATCCCTTTGATCAAAGATAAGTTTACAAAAAATGTCGAAGTTTAAAATTGGCGGGTATAATATTTTCCTTATTTAAATTTAAAAGTCTATCAGACTATCTGAACGAGCAGGCCACTTTTCTGTCAAATATTTTGGTCCCTGTTTATACCCGCCGCTTAATTCAAACATGATTTTTCGAGTGTTTTTTGATAAAAATGTTTTAAAATAATTTTTTTTACACATACTTATTTTTTTCTTTTTATTAGAGGAACGTAAATTCCTCAAGGGCTTTCATAGAGGCTGTTAATCATAAAGTTAATTTGTACTCTCAAAATATGCATTTTATTTCTTTTCGATATGAATGTATCTCTGTTATTACATTATAATTATAAATATAATTTACCATTGAATATAAATTGATGAATAAGTGTTGTTTATTTTTGAGGATGAGTTCAATTTGAATTACCAGACGACCTGATCTATTCCCCTTAGTTTTAAAGTTGTCTCGACCGAAAGAATCATTAACAATCAGTTCCTTCCTTAGTTTATTAATCGGGGCCAATACGCTTATTTCACTAACATTGATGAAACTTAGTATATTTAATAAAATAACAACTTAATGCGGGGAAAAGGCTGCAAAAAACAACAAAGGATATACAAAAAACCCGGAACGTTGCAGAATATTAACACTTCCATTTTCAACCGGGCAAATAAAATTAATAAAATAAGTCCTCGATTCGCTGTTGTTGCGAGCCCTTAGTACATTTACAAGCTCGAAAATTCAAGGACCTCCTGAAGGTTCAAAGAGAGGGACAGGTAAAACCAAAATGTCTCACAAATGAAGTAATTATACACGATTCTCGTTTCGTCCACCGGTTTCAATTGGAAATTTTCATTGAAAATCGCGTATTTTAGTGCGCAAGTCCTAATTTTGCTCAGCAGTCTATTGGCCGGCATCAACTAAGATTTCAACTGCATTTTATCCTCAAAAATTTGCTTTGATGTTTCATTTAATTGAAGATGAGATCCCAAAGATGGTACACCTTTTTTTGTGGGCGTATTTGAAATGGTCTAGGAAAATGTTGCAAAAAATTTCAGTTAAATTACAGCATATTAACCTCGATTTTTTTCAAAGCGAGAATCAAGGAAGATTTCTATGGTTCAAACGCTGCTGTTGAGACGCTTTTCGTAGAAGCTGTCGAATTAAGCTTTACATTCACTGCTACTTCTTTTTCCTAGAATTCCTCGTGGTGACGAGAGAGCCTTGTGAATTTTGCATTAATGAATTCTCTTCCACATATCGTCGCTCCTCTGACGTAAGGGCGTACCTCGATTTCCACATGAGCCCCGGGAGTTATATGGAGAACAGGGCTCACGTTCAATTGGAGATGCGCCCTTACGTCAAAGGAGCGACGATATTCCGTATCCACCAAATGTTGATTTATTGTTTCACTATCACCTAAAAGGGTCTGTTGCACGTAAGAGAAACAGCCAAATAAAATACTTTTCACGGATAAAATAGCACGAAAATCACGCTAGAAAAAAAGTCTGAAATATAAAAAATAAAAAAATAAAAAAATTCTCTAGCGCAAGATTTTCGTAGTTTGTACCACGCTTTTCAAGTTTCCCGCGTGTGCGGACAGTTCTCTCAGTCATCGCCGATCAGGTTTTCATGGACCAAGGAGTTAAAATAACTAACTTCTTTTTTTTAGGAATTTTATTTATATATAACTTTTCACACTCTCATTCATACAAACTTACAGACCACTTACAAGGTAAATCTTTATGGGAGCTCAAAGGTCTCCCACCTTTTTAATCTTTTCACTAATATTGTACTATCTAAGAGGTTTACAGCCTCTTCATTGACATGTTTTTCAAGACGACATACTTAATAACTAACGGCAATTCTTTAAAACTGCCGTGATTTTTCTTCTCTAAGCGAAGAAAATTCTGCAAAAACTTCAAGGAATGACGTCAGTTTGTTCTCTTTTAAAAAATATAAGCTGTACATGTCACAACAAAAAAATGCTCCATTAACGAACCCCCGTGGTTATATTAGCTTACAATAGCGGTTAAAGTAGCATTTTTTAGTTGTGAAATCTACGTTGAAATATTGCAGTCACTTTTTTTAGCAATTGAATTGTTAGATCAGCAATTTAATTTTTCCGTGATATTCCTTTTTTCATTGTGTCTGTCTTAACGTAATATGCACTTATTTATTAAATTATCCGGGGGGGAGGGTGTCAGTCAATTGCAGGGGGGCCAAAGGCGTTCGCTAAGTCTCTTGCATAGTCATCCGGTTTCAACATGTTGACGCAATCCTCCATTTTGAAGGAATATCCCTGGACAGCATCCGTCTGCTGGTTGGCGTTCGGGTCCTTCATGAATAAAGAGCATTTCCATCCGTCGGGCTCTCCCCAGTTTTGGCACCAGCCGAGAAACGCATCTTTGCACGGACCGCGCCACAATTTCAAGATTTCCCTGAATTCCCTAAACGCAGCTCGACATTTGCGGCCGCCAAGATCCATATTCGCTTCATTGCACATTTCCGGGTCGTCCAATCTGCGGATAATACTGTTCTTCTTCGCTCGAAAATCTTCCACCTGAAATGGAGATGTTGCATGTGTGAGGAATTTGCGATTTAACTGTTGATTCTTGTGTAAAAGTTCGCGGGAAACACGATGGTGCCACTGGTTTTCGCTGAAATCAACTCTCAAGCTCAAAAAAGCTCTCAAGTTGAGGCCAAAATGGAGGAGATATCCCACCCTATCCTGAGAGTCCACTTCTACATCAAGACAAACTCTGCATGCAAAGATAGGGAGCAAAGACATTGACAGGGCTGCCACCGTATTTGGGGGACTCTAATACTGAAATCACGGCAACCTTGCTAATGTATTTGCTCCCTATCTTTGCACGGAAAGTTCGTCTTGATGCAGAGGTGATTTTTGATAGGTTTTATCACGTTGATGAGAATCCACAGATTCCCATGGGTGCAACCGGCCCATTTACAATTGTTTTTCCAAAAAAGGGGATCGGTAAATTATTGTAAAAAACCGATTGAATTCACAATCATGCATTTTCACACGCTGTAATTCTCAAGGAGCTGAGAGAGGATTTTCTCTGAAGCATGCACTATTTTCTGCATTTGAGCCCGGATTCTCACCTGTTGGAATGACTGGCAATGGCTGATTTAATCCGAGTTTGATTTCTGTATCGCTTCAGTCAAAATCAATCCGCCGAGACGGAATAAGAAACAGGGTGGGTACCGATTCTGAGAGAGAATCTTACAGGAGTTCTGGATGAAACCCGTAAGTTGCTTGTTGCTATACGATTAAACCAGTGGCGTGGCGTGAATTGCGATTTATCGATTGTTATGCCATTTGAACTAATTGAAAAGGATCGATAAACAGAGTGTTCGCAGTGAACACCTTGATAATCGATTATTTGCCATAGGTTTAAATGGCAGAACAATCGATACATCGCAATGGACCACTAGACAAGGAACGAATTACAGCATTCTGATACATGTTTCGTAACTAAAATTTCACCTAGAACACGATGCGCACAACAAAAATTACCGAAATTACCTCCTAACGAAGATATTTAATGATTCTTGATGCGTGAATTCAAACCATCCGCTCATGAAAACTCAATGCTCTACGTGATTCACATCGCGCGCTAAACGTTTATCATGACAGTCTCTGTGATATAAAAATCTGGCAACTTCAATCTTGACGCTTTGGCTCAGCTATAGCAAATTGCCTATAGTTTGAAAAAAACATGGCGGGAAATGAACATTGCTCGGTTGAGAAGCTTGCTGAAACCGTTGAAGTGCGCAATTTGACCCACGTAGAGCTTTGAGTTTCTTGTGAGCGGGCAGTTCAGATTCCTCGTAACCAATGTGAAATAAAAACGTTAATGTCTTCGTTAGGAGTTGGTTTCAGTAATTTTCGTTGTGTGAATCGTGTTCTACGTGAAATTCTGGTTAAGAAACATGTATCAGATTACTTAAATTCGTACCTTGTCTAGTGGTCTATTCACGCCACGCTTCTGGATAAAACTACATTTTGCAATCATGGAAACTCTTTTTCTGGCTCATCCATAAAACACTTCTTTGCATACGGAAACCAATTGCACAAACGGATAGCGTTATGCAAAAAGAAACTTCACCGAAAGAAATGATGCTGACTTAAAATTCTGGGTGTGAAGGAGCGTGTGACAACTCACAAAACGCTGAATTAACCGCCACACTGACGTGCTATGGAAGAATGCCGTATAAGTCACAAGGCTTACTTAAATTTCCTTCAAAAAATCTCGAATTTTCTAGGAAAATTGTGAATATTTCTCTTCCGATTTTTCAGACGATTTTGTTTGTAATTTGATCTAAGAAGTCTGAAAAATTCAAGGAAAAATATTCTCAACTCTCCTCCAAAAGAAGTATTTACAGAGACACAATTTGGCAACGTTCGAAGGCTTATACGGCGTTTTTACCTAGCACGGCATCACAGCAGTTAGTTTTACATCTTGACATTGCTATAGTATCTGTTGTGGCGGTTAATTCAGCGTTTGTTGAGTTTTCGCACACTTTTGTACATCCAGAATGGTACATCAGCATCCTTTTTTTTTCGGTGTTCGAAGGAAAAAAAGTTGTTGATCTCGGTAACGAAGAAACTGTGCATTTAGAAACGGCGCGTCGGTGCTCATGAGAACTCGTCGGCAGATGTGAAGTGATCGTCAAGTTCTTTTGTGCTAAACGTGCTATCGCAGATTATTGCAATATGAAACAGAAGTTTGTTCCCGTCGGATCTCCACGCATTTGCCTAGGATGCGACCATCAGGGTGGCAAAATTTCATGAAAAGCAAAATCTTGAAATTTCACGTGAAATATTTCATAAAAATCCAGAAATTTGTGAAAGATATTGAAAAATGCCGGTTCCTTTTCATGCTTAGTAAAAAGTAGAACTTGTAATCCTCTATTTTTGTGTGTTTGAGTGCGGGTTGCATACTCTAGCCCCTGGAAAATATGAACTATTTTACAGCCTCGTGAAATTTCATGAAATATTTCACTGAAATTTCCAATCTTTCATTTCTTTCTTACGTTTCATGTCACCCTGGCGACCATATGAGCGTCGTTCCCTAAATTGCAGTCCCTTCAAAGTGAAGACAACTAGAATACTAACTAGATGACTAAATAACTAGGTAACTAGATTTCTAGACCTCTAGAAAAAGTGGCTCCTAATCTCAAGATGCAGTCCAATTAACTGCTGCTCTGTTCGTGTGACTTGTCGTTGCGAAAAATAATCTACAATCTATTAGGTGGAATCCACCGAAAACGCTCCACGGAGACAAGGCATGAGGAGTACCGTTCATAAAATACGTTACGCTTCGGAAGGGGAGGCATGTCTGAATTGGACTA